TCTGAAAGCAAAAGCAGTGCTGTGTGGTTAAAGGGCTGGCCAGAAAGCCCGATAATATGGATTCAATTATACGCTCCTCCACAAACTTTTCATGTAGCCATGGGTAGGTTGACTAGTCTCATCTTGTCTTGGCTTCTCCATCTTTCACAAGAGGCTCATATTTTCCTTCCTGTATGTTTTGTGAGGAAAAAAAATCTCTTAATATTTTGGAGTATTATTAAATTCCTCTGTGGAAGGGAAGATAGATAGCAACAGGAAGACAGAGCCCTTGCTTTAGAAAGATGACTTGCAATTTCAAGGAAGAGGACAGAACATCAGAAGTCAAAAAGGCATATTGAAATTTTCAAGAAGCAACGCTGATTCAGAACATGTTATGTTTGCAGCTACTGGGGTGTGAAACTTCTTCCACGGTGTGACAACCAGCATGAATTACTTTATTGCTCATAACAAATACAGATGGACAGATATCAGGGTGAAATGAAGGGCAGGGGCATTTGCAAACTGACAGAGACAACCTTCCTCCACACGCTGGAAATAAATGGATCTTAAGCAGCTTTTCTGCATTTCTTTATCTTCAGAAAACCTGTAGAGTTCATATTCTCCAGTGGAAGTCTAAAATGCTTTTAGGAAAGACATGTTGTTTTATGAGGATCTGTCTCTATTTTAAGGAGGTTGTCTAAAATTCTAATGTTTCTCTTTTCATCATGCTTCACGAAGCTTGTGGCTTTCACATTTACCATTTCAGTTTCAGTCACGGGAATTGGCTGACTTCATTCCCTGTCCCTTTTCCAGTGTTATCAATGAAGAAATTTGTTGTTTCCAGCCTACATGAACATGATGCCTGTATTCCTTGCCTGATGACCCACAGTGGTTTTGAGTCAAGATTGAGTTCCCTGCCTATTACGTGCAGCAATACCTGTAGCAGTGCTAGGCAGGGAAATTACTCCCAAGGCGAAGATATTCACACATACCTTTTAGTCTGCTAATATAAAAAAGAAAACAGGATGAAGATGGTGTCTCTGAAACATGAGTGGAAAGATAATATTGCAGTTTCACGCACAAGTAATGGTGATATCTAAGTCCATGTGGTAAATCATTGAAACTACTGGACATACAGGCAAGGCATTGAAAGTCAACTTTTGTATTATAGGTCTTACAGAACAAGCAATGTAATACCTTCCTTACTTGCACGCTGTAGCTACATTTCTAAAGTTTTGGGTTACTAGATGGTGGAGAAGGGGGATTCATAGGGCCCCTGCAACCTGTGCTCTTTGCTACCAGTGTGAGGACTTGGGGTGGGTATGCAGGAGAGGACCAGCTGTAGAACCAGCTGAGCAGTGCACATGAGTGAGCTAAGATAAGGGATGTTTGCTGTTGCAGATCCCATTTGGCTGCATAAGATTCAACAATGCATTTTGCTGGCATAGTCACTCCTTCAGTTGATTGGGATTGTCATGCCATGATCCTGAGATGCTGTCATTACGCAGAGAGGTTTTCAAAGAAAGAAAAACTGTACAGAATCATTCATTTCATAGTCTAAAAATAAACAAAAGCAATTTCAGAAAAATAAAAAAAAAACCCAGGATGTCCTTAAATGTCACAAAATGGTGTGACATGACAAAGCATGACTTTGTTTACCTTTGCAGGATGTATTCAGGAAAGGTCTTATCAGTGCCAAACTCAGACAAAGCCCCATCAATTTGTACTGATGAGCTAGTGTTTATTTATGTGGCATCCCTTGCTCCTAAATTAGCAGGAGGAATTTATATATTGCCTCGAGTACACAATGCAAATCTTTGCTTTTCTGCTGTCCTTTCCACGTTGAGCACCACACCAACAGAACACTAATCCTAAAAACTACCACTAATAGGGGTTTGTGTCAAAACCGCTAATAGGTTTTTGAGAATATAGGCTCCTGTTCCCTGGATTTCTCCTCACTAAATAGCCTGAAGGTAATGACTTGGTTACATACATTAAGCATTTTCCCACAAAAGAATCACTTTGAATAGACGTGTTCCCAGGACTGACCTCAGCTTCATGTGGCCTCTGACAGGTGAGGAGTACCAAGAAGATGCTCTTGGAGAAGCGCAGGCTGTTTATGAAACTAACTTTGCAACCCCCTTTCCGAGCACTGCCCTTTGCAAGGGCTGCCCTCGAGGAAAGTTATGGCAGGACAAAAGCCAAGACGGTTCTGAATGGAAAAGAAACTTTATATTTTATTTGTTTCAGATAAGCCTTAATGGATGGGCTTATGAGGGGGCAGATTTGCAACTGGCCTAAGTAGTGGCAACCTTAAACTAAGCCCACAGAACTTGCAAGAACTAAGATTTCACAAAGAATTTAAATTTTGAATTTTTTTATATGTGGTATTGTCTGTCAGAGGTTAGCTTTCTGTTTTTTTTCAAGAAATAATGTAAGACCAGAGTTAAGATGCTGATGGATTTTGCTGTGTTGTTAGAAAGGGAATTTCAGGTTCCATCAGAAAGAGAGGTCAAGTTAAACAAACTTCAAAACCGGGCCTAGAAATCTTGGTCCTGCTACTTTAACTCTTCTCTTCAATGGTAAAGCTCACACTGATTTGAGAGGGGTAAAAACCATTCCTTAGTTTGATGTATAGGATGTGGGGTTGCTTGGGATCCCCTCTGGGACCTATGACAACTGGCTTCATCAGCTAGTCATTGGGGTAGGTCTGAGGAGTTACTGACATCTCGCAGCTGAATAAGGTTATTTAAATTCAGATTATTAAAAGCAGGTTGTTAGGGTATGTTTCCATTAGGATGAGCAAATGCTGTTACCCAGAGTCAGCAGTTGCAAGTTAAAATGGAAGGGTTTTGTAGAGCTGACACAGACGACTGTGGAGGGCTTCTGAGAGACATGTGCTGTTATTGAAGATGACATAGGAAACAGTAAACATTTTATATTTTTATCTATCTTTCAAATTAAGCCCAGGCCTTCATGGACTGAAAAGCAGGAAGACACTCTGCCATCAAAGATTCTTACTAATATTTACTGCTTGTTTTAGAAAGCACTCTGAGAAATTCCCAAGGAACAGATAGTAGCATTGCCTGTGGGAAGTAGGGGTTTCTGCATTTTATTGTCTGCACCTTGAACATACTCAAATGCTTTGTGGGGGGTCTTTGGTTGTTTTCTTGGTGGACCAGTCACAAAACCTAAGGTAAAAATAAGAATTTTAAGATGTTTATCTTGTTAAAAGGGCTCTAGTCACTGGTGGGCTGAAGGCCTGGTACTCTTTATGTTGTCAGAAGGACTCCTTGCAAAAACCAGTGACAATCTATAGGAACCAGTTATAGTTTCAAGGGAAGGGTTGCATTCTGCAACTCGATCTTGCGTAAGAACTGCTGTAAAGAACACAGCCCTGAGTAAACTGCCTTCCACTGAATCAAATCATTCTGTCCTAACACACCTATACACCTTGTGGACACTTAGCATTTTGAATAAGGAGTTTTATAAATCTCTGATGATGCTAGTTTATCACTGTTCACAAATTTCACTGAATCTGCACTGCTGATACTGGTGATCCTTTTGGTCCACTGTGGGAAAAGGGTAAAAAATAACAGAAACTGAGAAACAGTCAAAAGCCAGCCAAGGAGAAAAGCTGCCACAGAGACTGGTGGATGATTCACAGTTTTCAAATCTGCCTCCCTGTGTCATAAGCATTCTGTTTCTTGAAAGAAAGTGAAATCACTGCTATGCAAAAAAAAAAATGTTTAAAAATCGTTTCAAGAAGGAAACAAATGTTTGGAGAGCTGACTTGGCTGGAATTTTCCCTGCACATTTACTCTTAACATGTCAGTGCTTAAACTTTCTGTGCGTGCATGAGGGGGAACAGGGAACAATCAAATGTTAGTGAAGATGCCCCCATCTGTTCCATTATTTGAGGGTGTAAAGATGTTCTTTAGCTCTCACAGTCCTTGCTATTTTGATTGCCAGGTGGTCTCCCTGCCCAGATTTCACATCAAAAACAGCTGTGAAGATTTTTTTTCCCAGCACATGCAGGAGGAGGGATCCCAGTAGTCCCATCCTTTTTGCAGAAGGCAAATATGTGATATAGTCAGGTCTTAATTTAAGGGTTCCTTACATTAGGTCTTGGGGATCTTTTTCCTTTATCTATGAAACAAATACAGGTCAGCCCCATGCACCCATATCAGATGTAGTACTCAGTCCCCACTTGCAGAGCACAAAATGCTTCACTCCAGCCCTCTGCCCTCCTCCTATTCTCAGTGCTCACTAGAGCACTCAAAAACGTCCTCACCAAAAATCATCTGACAAGGTCACCATCTAGATACAAGAGAGGGCAATAAAGTGTCTTGTGCCCCAGCTGTGTATCTGCAGCACATTTATTATGTCTGACAGCAGGATACCTGCATGCCCCACCATCCTGGAGGTACCCAGTTTCACACACACCACTGCTGGACAGCAAGGCACTTTGGCCCAACTTACCAGTGGGAAGCCACAGCCCAGAGGGGCTCAGTAACTTGCCCAAGGTCACACAGAGGGTCACAATCCCCCATCATGTCTGCACTGGAGCAAAGCGTAGAGACTGCTTTGCATATCAGTTTGAGCATGTACATCCATTGCAAGCAGTGGAGTAATGGATGGAGATGAGAAGGCAGGATTTCAACAGATGTTGTGCTAATGCCCAGAGACTAGAGCTATTAGGCACAGCATTGCACTGAAGCCATTTTACATCTTCTCATTCCTGTGCAAATTGTCACAAGTCACTTGGGTGCATCTGCGCTGAGCTTCATTGTGTGGTGAAATGGTCACCTGCTCTCTCTCCCCAGCCCAAGCTAGTATATTAATTTATGGATTGTCTTCCCTCTGAACCATCCTTACTCAAATCATCCCAGGCCAACACACACTGAAGACCTTGCAGATCAGTAGCATTTTGGATTAAGACTGCTATGAACCTCTGATGATACTAATTTATCACTGTTCACACACGTGTTGTTTTTCTCTCTTCCCCACTGCAGATCTGCGCAGGATGACAGCTGGCTTCATGGGCATGGCTGTGGCCATCATCCTCTTTGGATGGATTATTGGGGTGCTGGGGTGCTGTTGGGATCGAGGCCTTATGCAGTATGTGGCAGGGCTTCTCTTCCTCATGGGAGGTAAGGATGTTGGTGTTTGAAGAAATGTTTTCTTTGTTGTTTTCATGTTCCCTCTTTCCACATGTCTCTGCTTTTCTAAGTCACTGAAAACATGTTTTCAGAGTTGTTTTGAGTGATCTGGACTTGGTTTCATTTCAAGCTCCTACTGGTGTACATCAAGGATAACCCAACAATAGTTACATGTTACTTCCATCACAAAACAGTGTCTGTGAGTCACAGGACTGGAAAGGGCCTTCTGAGTTGTCTAGCCCAGTGCTCTATTGTTGTAAGTAATACTGTCACCCTTAAACTTATATAAGCTTAATAAATTTAGTAATAAAAATCTGAAGATTATGCAGATGTTATTCCCACCACTATCCTACTTCATAGTGGGACATTTTACTTTGATAGCTAGAAACTGTGCTCAAAGTTTTAACCTATATTTATTCCTTGTTGGTTATTCAAGTCAAATGTAACCTTTGGTTTATGTGTCTCTTTTCTTTCTCTGATGTACCTATGAAGAACAACGGTATCCTCTGTTTTCTGTTTCCCACTCTACATATGCTATTTTTTATAGATTTTTCTCTACAAGACCAGTAGCCCTTTCAGCCGCCTGTTCTTGTTTGTACTTGCCTTTCTCAAATACGGATGAGAAGTACTATTGCAAAACAAGGTCTGATCAATGCCTTGTATAAGTGACGTGACCGTTTCCTTTCTCTGCAGCAAATCCCTTGCCTGAAGTATTTTGTGGTTATATTTGCCTTTTTTCATGCTGTGTCACACTGGAGACCCACAGTCATCCTTCAGTTGGATAATACATCCAGGCCTTCCTCCTCCTTTGTAATTTCCTACTGATGATCTCCCAGTTTACAGCAGAAGTTCTGTTTATTACTCCCCAGATACATGCCCTGGCACTCTATGCTTTTGAGCTTCTTGCCATTTCTACTACACCAGCCCATAAAGTCATCCAACATTTCCTGTGTAATGTTCCAGCCTTTCTTACTACAGATGCCATCCGACTTTGTCGTCAGCAGGTTTCATGGCACACAGTTACATGAAATGAAGGGTGTGAGAGCCAAGTCCCAAACACAGCACTGGGTGAATGTCTGAAAGTAAACATCACTACTTCTGTTCTCTCTTCTTTTCCCTGCTGGTGGTTTTTGTTTGGTTGGGTTTTTGCTCCCTAGTCAGATCATTACTTCAATGCATTTGATTGCCTGTTCATCTGTACTGTGGTGTGACACAGCTAAGTGTGTGAAATACAGGAAAGATTCTGTAGTCCTAGAAGAGGAGTTAAGTGCTCGAGTAACAAGTATTTATGTTCCAGTGCTGTTGGTGCTGGTGACATAGATGTTGGCGCTCTCAGTGCCCACAAACACATCTGAAGTCTGCTAGTACCTTGTGCAAGCACAGACTGCTCTATGTGTGGATGTTTGTAAACGGTTTGTTGTAGGTGTCTACTTTATGGGTAATGGGTCTGCCAAATTAGCTTGGTATTTCTTATGTAATTAAAAGCTTAATTTGCATGGGGAGCTATTTTGCTCTAATATGCTCAGATATCTGTGTGGTGGTTAACTTACTACAGCATGACATTCAGATTAAAACATTAGGGCTATACTAAATGCAAAAAAACTTAAATTTATTCGAAACTAGCTAAGTCTCCTTTACTAATTGGAAATTATCACTATGTATCTGCAGCTGCAGAGATTACTTACTGGCTTAATGTTATCTTTTTGTCAGGGATTTGAAAGATGGCTGATAAAAATTTTCAGGTGAAACAAGACTCAGTGTAACCATGCATAATGGGATGGGTCACTCCCAGCATACAAAGCCATCTTTTGGTATGCTCAAACAATGCACATTTCAGTGGAGACAGATCCAAGGTCATGCAACTGGGAGCAAAAAGTGTCAGTCACTCTGGCAGAATGAGAGGCTGTCTCTCAGAAAGCAGCGGCTTTGAAAAGGTCTCTGGGATCATGGTTGCTGGGATCATCCAGCTGCACAGGAGCTCTCAGTGCAATGCAGCTGCTAAATGTGCCAGTTTTGATGGGAATATGCAATAAGAGCATGAGGTGGGGTTATCTCTGGACAAAGCAAAACTATTTCTGGACATCCTAATCTGGTGTCCATGCTAAAGAAGGGCATGGAAAGATTGGGAAAGGTTTGCAGAAGAGCTACAAGAATGACTCAAGATCTGAAAAACAAGAAAAACACAGCATGCCACAAAAAGCCATTTGCTTGAAACTATTTAACAGAAGGTTTATAATTGACTTGAGCACAGTGTGGAAGTACCTATGCAAGGAGAAGCCATCTGATAGTAGCATGCTCTTTGACTGCACAGACAAAATAATAACAAGATCCAGCAGTTGGAATCTGAAACTAATTGAAATGAGAGGCACCAAATTATTTTATCTGCCAAATTCTGTCAAGATGTGTGATATTTTTAATAAAAATGTGTTGGGAGGAGATCAAACTTATTTTCTGCTCCAGCATAGACACGTGGACCAGGGTTACAAAAGGTTACTGTCTTTCTTGTTTTGCACAAGTCAGTGGCAACTGCTAAACCTTTCCTGATTTAACAGCAAATGTGCATAAAGTAAAATCTACAAACTGAAGCAGTCAGTTAATAAAATATCTAACTAGAGCCATCTATTCTAAAAGTCCAGTAGCTATCCATGTTTTCAGACTGTGTCATATGTTACATAGTCATTCCTTCTACAGTCAATGAATCTTTTAATTTGAACCTTTTTGTTGCTGGACAGTGTTTCAGTACAAAGCTGTTACTTCTGTCATGATGTAAATGCTGTCAACATATCATCCTATTGGTCCTCAAAATGCCTGGAGCCAGAGTGCCTCTTAGTTTTGCCTAACTTTTTCCCTGGTCCAATAATGGGAAAAATACTTTAGGAAAGCTTATGACATCTGACCTCATTGCTGATGGGAGGAGACTGCATTAAATTGGTAGCTATATAACAAGCCTGAAGTCTAACTTTCCCTTCCATTTGCAATGCCACTTGTCTTGGCTATGTTTGTAGCATTTGCTGTTTTAATTTCTAGACAAATAGCCCTTCTGTAATGCTTAAACATTCCTGGCTTACCATATCTATGGGTTTTGTCCCTTATTGCCTATTATTCTTTGAACAGCAAATCTCAATGGAGCACTGAGAAGTGTGCTGTGATAATCTAACAAGACCAGATGTGGTTTCCCTGGACCTCTGATTCCTTATTATATTTACTGAACAGTTTTCTTGCTATCCCACGTAGCAGTGCCTAATAAAGTCTTGCTTTAGTGTGCTTGATTTAATTTCTCAAGCAAATTGCTGAAATAAGTTATTTGTGAAATGTGGGACGTTATCTGGTATTAGCTCATCTGGAATCCAGGACATGTAAACTGTGATTTAGAGTGTGTTTTACACTGTTATTCAGCATGTTTTGTAACAAGTTAAAAATTATTAATAATTCATCATTTCTGTTTAGTCCAAATGTATCTGTATCAACAGCAATCACAGGTCTCTTATGGCTTCTGAAGTTCTTTTGCATAATTTTCTGTATTTATTGCAGAATTTGTACTTGGATTCCTTATCTTAAATGAAAGCACTTGCCTGACCACAGTAGGATTTTTTTTCAGTCCCTCATCTTGTACAGAGCCAGATGGATCCTGCAAATTATGTTCAGTATTTTTGACCTCATTTTGCATGATGGTACTATTGCATAGCTTCCTGTGCCTGGAGTTGCACTATCTGTTGTAGTTTCATTTCAGTATTGTCAGAATGATTTTATCCTGCAAGGTGGGAGAGTTTCTCTTTTTGAGAGTTTCTCCATTTGGAATTGTGCTTTTAAGTTTCACTTAGACTAGTTCTTTTTATGCATCTTGTTTGAGACTGTTTAATTCTATTACAGAAGTGGGTCATACTCAAATTATATATGACTCCCAGCACATCTTCTTGCAGTTTCTTGGATTTTCTCTACATGCAAATTATTGAAAATCTGTACACCAGTAAAAGCTCCATACTGGGCATGTCATCCAGTAATTTTATAATAATTTCTGGAACCTTAGAAGTATCTGTAACATTACTTCCAAATGTCAGAGTCCTGTGGCAAACTTGATGCTTTCATGCTCATCAAGTACCTAGTAGTAGTCTAAAAGGAATTCAGTTAAACATCGACTTGAGGAAATGCATGTGGGGCATTTTATACATTGTGTTTTGTATTTACGTTTGTATATACTTGCACCAAAACCATGCCTTTTCTTTTTGAAGTCTAGATGTGACCTCCTCATCAGTTCCCAGGAAGTAGTGCTCATGTTTTCTGGCTCTGAGAAGTTCCTCTGAGTGTATTCAAATCCTTTACTTGTTTGGTTTTATTATGATGGCAAACCTGTCAATTCATTTGCTTGGTGTCTTAACTCCCTCAACAGTAGCTAACATTATTGCCAGGTCAAGGTCAGATTTCAGTTTTACTTCCAGCTCCAAAGAGTTGGGATGCTATGAACTGGCACAGTGGCAACTTTACCAAGGCAAATTCCTGTATCTTCAGGAATCCCTTCTTTCAGTTCTTCATCAAGTCATTGAAGAATATTTCCTGTATCAGGATAAGCAGACAAGCTATATATCCATCTGTTGGTTTTTCCACCTGCTCTCCAGTGCATTCATTCACAGCATTTTCTTGTTTCAGCATCTCAGATTCTGCTAGGTTGGTTGTCATTCCACAACCATGCAAACCCAACCTCACCACACCTTCTGTTATTGTACTTGCTTTATAAAATCAGCTTTTAAAGACAATTTCTGATAGCCTGTTGTTTTCCCAGTTCAGCTCTGATTTCATTTCAGTCAGCTGTTTTGAAACATCATGTGCCTTGCTTTATTTCTAGTTCTGGGGGCAGGGCTGACTTTGTACCTAAATGCTCCAAAACCCTTTCCCTCCTCATCAGTGCCTGCCATGGGGAAACTGGAGTGGCAGGGCTACCCCATGGTGGTACACACTCCAGTGTTTCAGCAGTGGTTGCATCCTTCCCTTCCCTG